TAAAAAAAAAAAAAACTAACCCATTTATATTCTATTAAGCCCCACAGTTATGTATATTTACGGGCAAGGCTGCCTGAGTGACAGGCTGTCTTTGAGGCATAGCCACAATTTGAGTCAGCTCCAGCTTCTCATCCATATACGGTTGCTTTTGGTTCCAAAAAAAAAAAAAAACAAGACGGAGATGGCTAAGATGCCAAACTTGAGGCTTCAAAACGACAGTCTATAAACCAGAGGGTGATGTCACGGTAGCTACGTCCATTATTTATACAGTCTAAAGTTCAGTTGAGGATGATGGACATGTCATTGGTTTTGCAGGTAATATTTGATCATAAACCAAAATACTGGCCTCATAGATATTCCGAATTGATGATTGTGCTGCATACAAAAAGCTACGGGATTTTTTGTTAGATTTTTAATTATTGTAGAAAATAAGCTCTGTGGCAAACAAAAGTTTATTTGCACATTTTGTTCAGCAAGATAATCTTCAGAAATGAATATATGCGATTGCCAGAAGTAAAAAGCTAATGTAAGACAATAAACAAACTACACCATGGGCACATGACTTCAACATCACCACCGTGACACTGTATTGGCAATGTTTGGCGTGAAGACGTTTTTAATGTCTCTGACACCCGATATTGTCTCATTTAGCCACCTGTTAGCAACTGCCTTTTTAAAAACACATAAATGTCTCAAAGTCATAAGTGGGATATTTACTGACATATTTTATGTTGCAGAACAAAACATCAAAGTCTTTTAAGCTTATGTTAACCACAGATCTTATCTCATGTATCTAACCAAAAACCCACTGACTTCAAGACGAGGGCACCAGAAGTGCTAAAATGCTAGCTCATTTACAGATTTTAAGGACTCATTCTTGCACCAATCTGTAACAATTTCCTGACAATCCATCCAATAGTTGTGTAGCCTTTTGCACAAACAACAACAACAACAACAAAAACACAAATATGAACCTTTGGGTTGTGCTAGAGGAAAAGTCAACAAAGTCATTAGGTTTCATCATATGGGAACCATGAATACCTTTACAAACTTTATTGTCACTCCATCCAACAGCTGCTGAGTTATTTCAGTCTGAACCAAAGTGAACCAACCTTATTTATAAGGGGATGCAAAATGGCACAAGCATGACTGATGAGCATTCTGCATTTCTGCCATTGGCTTTGAATTTCCATCAAGTCTGTGTCCCTCTCTCTCTCTGACCTTGCCTGACTGCATCCAGCAGATGTTCTGATCTGTTGCAGCTGGACCCAGTACTACTCCAAACACAAGCTACAAACCCCTGTCACATTCTTGTCACAGTCTGGGGTCCCTGGTGTCGTAAGGAAGCCACGTGGGGCCCAAATCCAGCGTGGTGGTGGGTGATTATATAACTTAATTGCTTGGATTGTTTCTGTCCTTTTCTTTGTAGTGAAGTTTTTGTTCCTTTGGGTGTTTTTGGCCTCATCCTGCGCCACCTACTCGTGCCAAACATCCACCAGTCCTGACATAACAGCAAGGCTCCTGCGCGACTGAGCTGATTGGCTGATGGACAACTTGTGAGCACATAACAGTTCCTTTGAATAATAATGATGTTACAAGGAACACAAATACGTGTGACACAGGAGAGCTCATTTATATCACATAAACAACCTGTCACCACTTGTTCCGATTGACACGCTGGTTGTTTAGTAACAACCTCATTTAGCAAGTGCTAAAAAAAACCTGGCTGAAAGTTCCTATTAATGATATGATATAAACATGTGACTGCATGGTTATTTATTTGAATGTCAGATACAAACAAAAACAACTGTTACAGTTCATTTAAATACCTTTAGACTCAAAATCACGTCCTGTATGTTCTAGCTTTAACGGTTCTATCTACAATGGTGTCGCCTTCTGATTTCTCTGAAAAACAAGCATGTAATTTTGTGAATGGATGGTAAATGGACTTCCTCTTGTATAGTGCTGTTCTAGTCTTTCAACCATTCAAAGAGCTTTTACACTCCTTGCCACATCCAGCCATTCACACACACACACACACACACATTCACCCAGTGGTGGTTAAGCTACCACACAAGGTTCCACCTGCTACTCAGTTAAACATTCACACACCAGTGGCACAGCCTTCAGGAGCATTTTGGGTTTCAGTATCTTTCCCAAGGACACTTTGACATGTGGACTGGAGGAGACGGGGATAGAACCCCTGATTTTCTGATTAGTGGACGCCCCATTCTCCTTAGCCACAGGTGTCCATAATAAAGTATAAAATAAAAGGAAGTAACGAAAGAACGAACCAGTATCACTGATGTTAGAATTCATAATTAATTCTTAATTCTAGATGTAATTTCCAGCAAGCATCTTTGTTTGGATTAGGACAAAGAGGTGAATCTTGAGGAACACATTCAAATCTTTTTTAAAGAGCAACAGATAAATATTTGAATGCTTTGTTTTTTGTATTGTATTTGTTTTTTCACCAGTAAACTTGAGGAGGAAACTGAAAGGACTTGGCAAGTGTCAGACACGAATGGACCAGTGTCCTCAGCGTAGTTGTTGACCTTCACTTCAAGCAATTAAATTGTCTCTCCGACAAAGGAACAAAAGAAGGACAAATGAAATGTGACGTTCTCACTCTCTCTCACAGACCGATGCAGCGGCACTAAGTCTGACTAAAATAGGATTGAGTTTGGGTATTCCTGTTGTGTCTCGATGAAGCCTTGAATATTCACCGGTAATGACTATCACTGAAGCTTTGAAGCCCCAAAAATGAGACTAGATATCGTCTGAGATTTTTAATATCAAAATATCATAAGTTTTGTATTTTCCTGGTTTTTAAAGTTGCATACAGTAATTTTCTGAACTTAGCTGATTGTTCTAGATGCTCTGTTATTTCCCCACTTAGATACCTAACTTATTGTTTAAAGGCATTCGGAGTGGAAGGCAAAGGAAGAATTTCATTGTACAGGGAAACTTGTTTTATCTGTGTATATGCCAATAAACTTGATTATAACATTACTGATGATTACTGATAAAAAAAAAATCTCATCTTGTAAAAGCACCAATAGTCAACCTACAATATTGTGGCAATATCAGTATCCAGGTATTTGGTCAAAAACATATATGATATTTGATTTTCTCCATATCACCCAGCTCTATTACAAAGGTCAACGAGGTACTTATTTTTCAGGGAAATGGACTCTTAGGTAGTGTTGTTACTCACATGTAATGGTAGTATATGAAAGGCTAATTTGGGACCATTTAGACCCTTAACTGTAGAAAAACCCTCTGAAATGACATTTTCAAGCTTAAGTTTCCTGCTTGTCACCCTTTCTGTCACTTACTAGAGCCAGAAAATGTACTCTCAGTCAAGCTTTCCTCAGGTTATGATACAGCTGTAAGTGCTTTTTGCAGGATACAATTTAATCTGGCATGAAGGCATGTTGACAAGTGAGGGGGTTTTAGCTCACTCCTAACACCTAACCAGACAAATCACACAAGTCTGAGCCTCACTAAACACAATCCTGTCTACAAGCAACTCCTCTGAATCTCAAAGTTTGATACAACAGACAAACTTACCAAACTGCAACAAGACATCTAGAGTTGCAATGATGTTTAAGTTTAGAAGCAATATGCTTTTGGCTCTCATCTCGTCAGACATTTCTACACATTATCACCCTGCATCAGCAGATCTTTATCTTAATGTTTGACTTAGTCTTGAGGCAGCCACGCTGTTTCTTGGATCAAAAAGTTTAATTCAATAAAATGTGAATTCCTGCAGAGATTGGATTTACCCAGATTGAGATAATCCTGTTATTTCAAATGCAGTTTCTCTCGTCTATCATTTCTAAAGACAAGCATGAGCTATAGGGCATATAAGATCTTTTCAGTGGCTTTCACAGAGGACAATTCAACTGGGCACAAGCCTAAATAAGTATCAACTTGTTTACTCCTCTTCTGTTTCTGTCCCCCTCTCTCCCTCTTTGCTCTTCAGCAGCACACTGATCTCCATCTCATCAACATATCGCGACATCTCTCCTCCACACACACAGCTCAGCTGATGATCGGGACAGCTCGAGACAAGCATTCATCAAAACAGTAGACAGTGTGCCTTTTGATTGATACTCTCTTTCTCTCCCTCACATACACATACATACACACAAACCAGAATCTGGACACTAAAGCCATCAGCAGCAACCAGGAGGACCAACAGATCAACTGGATGTTTTGTTTACTGATGAATCGGATGTTTTCTAGGTATTTATGTGGTTTGTTGATATATCTAATGACTAACTAAACTAATTTTTGTGTTGAAATTTTAAAAAAACACACTGTAGTGTCATTAGTCACATATAATATTCTTATTAGATTCACCTACTTCTTGTATTTATGTCTTAAAAATGACAATTATATCCCCTATATCTACGACATGTGCTTTAAAAGTCACATATTTACCTATATGGACAATTTACTAACTAAGTCACACTTATATGTAATTAATTTCCAATATAATAGCCAAAAATAACCCTTACAGTGAGAGGTAGTTTACCTAGTTTGTCATATTTTATTGGTAATCTTCCTTAAATTCCACCATAAAATTCAACTGTGCTCTTAGGTTGAAAGTTACAACTTTCTGTCAGAAGTTGATGTTTCGTTTCTGTGCTTGTATAGGCTATAAAAAAAATCATACTGTATTTTACTCACGCTGGTGGGGTGGATGAGTGGTAATGGAAGCAGGGACAGCGGGATGAACACCACAACGATCAGCTTCCGCGCCTTCCACAGCTTCCTGAACACATCCATCCTGGCTGCGGCCTCTAGCCTCATGGGTGACCCGGGGCTCTGGGTCGGACTGGCTACAACTCAGCAGAACCGGATGTGAAAATCACAAACCGGCCGACGGGGAACTCTCAGACCACCGCCGACCTTGGAGAGCCGGAGGAGGAGGAGAAGGAGGCGGAAGAAGAAGAAGAGGGAAGCAGTCTCCTGGAGGTGCGTGAAATTCTGTTTTGGCTGTGCGCTTTTACGCACAGACCGCAGACGGTGACCGGACCTGGCTATGTGCGTTTCTGTGAGGTGAGTGAACTTGCCTGAACTTGCTTCTCCCAATCTGAATTTTACTTCCACCGTGTTGGACTCTCGTGCCATGCACTACTCTCGAAGTCCCTCTCCTCCTCCGTGTGTTTGATGCTGTTTGAAGCATCAGGTGAGGCTGCCGGCGCATTTATGAGCCTGGATAGGTATGCTAATTAATCACGGCTTTCCCCCCTCCACCCTCTCTGGCTGTGTATCGACCAATCAACGGTGAGTAAAGTTTGCACAAGGGCGTGTGCGTGTATACTAGGGTTTTTGCAGCATAACTGTCTCTACACAGGAATGTAATCAAGCCAAGAGGGAAACAATGAGGAACATAACACAATAGTATTAGAATAGTGGGGATGCTTGGAAAGGGGAGATGGAATTCTGCATAGATTAATAATTAAAAGACATATAAATAGAATATTACAGAATACTTTAAGAGATGAAAAAGGCCTTACAGGATACTACAATAGATAAAAATTACCATGTTAATCACACAACATGCTATGAAGTATGTTAGTGTGTGTGTCTGACAGAGAGAGACCAATGATAAAATCAATGGTTTTATTAATAACAATTATTTGAAGTGCATCATTTTAAGTCATATAATCCTCAACAAGGATTTTTAACACATCACAGAGTTTGAACCAAATAGAGCAGGATGAGGACCACAGGCTGCAGTCGCCCTCTAGAGGATTCACTGACGTTGTGCACACAGGTTCATTTCTCAGATAGGAGCATGGTGAAGGAGAACCATCACTGCAGAAATATTTTAACATAAATGTCACAATTTAATGTATACCGTTATTTAAAGAGAAAATAATATGATTTAATATCTTAAAGGGACAGTTCACCCCAAAAGCAAAAATACATATTTTCCCTCTTACCTGTAGTGCTATTTATCAGTCTAGATTGTTTTGGTGTGAGTTGCAGAGTGTTGAATATATCGCCCGTAGAGATGTCTGCCTTCTCTCAAATATAATGAAACTAGATGGCACTCGGCTTGTGGTGCTCAAAGTGCTAATAAATTACATTTGAAAAACTCAACGGCAATGTCTCTTTCTAGAAATCATGACCCTGTTATTCAAGATAATCCACAGACCTTGTTTGGAGCAGTTTCATGTAGGAACTATTTATTTTCTATTGAACTACACCTACCAACTGTATCACCACGCAGAAGGAAGCGTGCATCTAGCATCAAGCGGCTCGTGCTCCTGACAGAGCAAAATGTAAACATCAATGGTGCCCTCCTTGGCTGAGCTGTAACATTAGCTAGCTCAGTGGTGCTAGGTGAGCTAGCAGTAGATGCATGCTTCCTCCTGCATGGTGGGTGTAGTAGATAAAAAATAGTTCCTATGAAACTGCTCGCAACAAGGTCTGTGGATTAACTTGAGTGACCGGGTCATAATTTCTGGAAAGAGACGTTGCTGTTGAGTTTTTCAGAATTTTTTTTGTGCCAATTAAACTGCCACCTGTTGTGTCTGTGAAAAACAAATCATTTCTGGTCAAACAGGCTAAAGCCCTGGCACTGAAATTGTGTTTGACTTCCCGTGGGCAGTTGCTTCTTTTAACTAAAGTGGATTATCAATATGTTTTTATTTTTCTCTGTTATTTATCTAGGGCTTTATCTAGGGTTATTTAATGCCATTTTGGCACCCACCCCTTCTGGGTTGCACCCCAAGCAACTGTCTGTGAAGACCCACCACTGCTATTGTCCATGAGTAGATGCACTCTTCCTTCTGTACAGTGATACATTTGGCAGATGTGGCTTGGTGGAAATGTTTGACTAACCAAGTCTATAAAGTGACATTTTCCTAGCCTGGTTCCAGACCGTAGACCCCGCCCACTCAACTGAGTAGGCTTGCATTACTGGTCTGGCATACTTCAATGAATTTGCGATTTATCTCGTCCAAACGATAGATGGACCAATGAACGCCGGGGGTCTAGCGATTAGCCAATGAGCGCCACGCTGATGTCAAGCTGTACGCCGGTGGGTAACTGGTGAGGATAGCAACAATGGCGACCGCTACAGATCCTACAGACCACATTAACGTTGCTATCGAGGTATTTCGCCACTACTCGCGTTAATGGAGAACCAAATTAAGGAAACTGGCGAAACTGGATCGATGCAGCTAGGCGTGCACGACGACGGAGACATTTTAACTGGGCAATGCTTGCTTGTTTTCGGCACCCCCGAGGCATGGATACTAATGACGTCAGATTCTGGGTGAGTCGTTGATCTCTACTGATTGGTTAGGGAAAAAATCAAATTCCCTCCCCCTTGTAAATCGCCTTCAATGGAAGCCATGTCAGACTGAAGGTTCTGGGAGCTTCAGTCTGACACTCAGGCTAACATTTTCCTGCCAGGAGCAGACCTCGGTCAGAAGTTACACAACACCTTAAACTCATGGAGTGTTACATGAAAGTGGTGTATTTAAAACCATATACACAGGGCTGTCACATGATGAACATTCACACATGCAGCATTTGAACTCACCAACAGCTTTTCCTTCATTGTGTAATGAGGATTAATTCTTAGCTTCTCGTTCAGCAAACAAAAGCCCTGGCTGCCTGGTGAAAGCAAGAGAGACATTTGAAGAGATTTGCCACTCAATCTCCTGTAATGTGTGAAAATGGAGAAGAAGTAGGGATATTTAGTACAAAAGAATGAAGGAAATGTCGCGTTTCATGTAGACATAGTTTGTGTATTTTATACACTACTGGCCTCTGACTGCTTTGAATATCATTTATGTGTGTGTGTGTGTGTGTGTGTGTGTGTGTGTGTGTGTGTGTGTGCGTGTGTGTGTGTGTGCATGCCTGCCTGCGTGTGTGAGTGTGTGTGTTTGTCTCCTCTTCAGTGGACCTTTGAGCTTACATAACCCAATCACTATTAGCTAATTCTCTCTAAACCTCTTTTAGTCTTAAACTGTGTAAAAATTTGTCAATGGCTTTACTCTTCACAAGGATTTCCCAGTGTGTGTGTGTGTGTGTGTGTGTGTGTGTGATAATGGGAAGTGTTATAGACTTGTTAGTGAGTTTAATTATCACAGAAGTTGTCACAGATCATATGTAGTATTGCTTCTCTATTTTCTGTTTCACATAGTAGTTACAGTATTTGTCCAGGCGTTAACATATGTATTTATCTTCTTACATGATCGCCTAAATGCTGCTGCAATAAGTATACTGTGATTCTGGTGGAGAAATAATAAAATCGTTCTTTATTTAAATTATTTATTGTTCTACTACAAAACAGTCACACTTTAAAATGAGCCTTAAAGCTGCTAAAATCAAAATTTATTTCAATGGATTAATAGCCTGTTTGTAAATTGAAATAATTAACTTGACGTAACAAACCCATTAAGAATTTTATTTGCATCTTTTAGTTCATTGTTTTGGTTTTATGGCTAACAACTTTGATCTTTTTGCTCATTCGCATTAATGAGAATTAATCAGTTTGTTTGTGTTTTTTGCATTGCAGTGCGCACGATTCTGCACTCTAGACGCCTGGCATTTTTGACAGACTGGAAAAGTGCCCCATGTCATCTTTTTTCCCATTGTCCAATTGGATGATTTGAGGGGCAGGCCTTCTGTGGGTGTCACGACAACAAGTTTACAGTTGATAAACAATGGAGGAGAAACTGGTAGTAGCAGTTGCTGGATACCCAGAGCTAGGGTGTCTTAAAAGTTGATAAATCAAATGTTGGAAAATTAAGGCCCTTAAAAAGTATTAAAAAATCTTAATCGCGATTTTATGAGGTATTAAATTTTCTTGGCATTCAAGCTTTGACAAAAAGTATCCATGAATGTATAATCTATTTTCCTCCTCGCGACTATTACAAACAACGATGTGTAGGTAGGCACACTCGGACTGCCACTCGGGGCTTGTGCACGTACCTGTGCGACATCACACGACGGCGCATGTCCAGGCGCCAAACAGAGGAGCAAAAGACAATAAAAAATCTGAGTTCTGTTGTATGTTTGTGCTCCATAGATTTAATTGCAAACTACAACTGTTTAGTAAGTTAAAGATGCGCTAAGGACAGCTTGAAGTGGCGATGATGTTTTTTGGGAAGGTCTTAAAAATGTATTGAAATTAACCTCAGAATTCCTGCATATACCCTGTATATGGCCTGATGATAGACAGCAGGCTGTCAACCCGCCCATGAGTCATCCTAAATTATGCCTGGAAATGGCCTTCAAGGAGGCGAAGCTCCTGGACCAGCTGGTGGTGATCCACCCTCTTTTTTAGGGTCTCATGTACCCACACAGATCTCTGTTTCCCTGTGCCCAACAAACTATCTGACAGCCTCTTACCCTCACCCAGAGGTTAGTGTAAGGACATGATGGGGTGGTTGCCTGGCATTAATAAAAAGGTGCAGCAAGCTTTTTTTTTTTTTTACTAGTGGCATTCAATTTTTTCTGTGTGGCGCACCGCACATTTTGCGACCTGCAAAACAAACTGTGTGATTGTGGCCTTAGCCTTCTGCTTATTGTAGCTCACAGCTCACAGCTGCGGCTTCAAGTTTACAGTACATTAATGTAGCTTAAGTTAACTAGAGCCTCAAATCACTCCCCGCCACTATGGACAACCTCACCAGAAAAATACCAAGCACCATCTCCACAGATGGACCCCCAGTCAGTGGCTAAAGCAACTAAAATTCAGCCTACACAATCCCAACCTCCAGGGGACTGGACAGCCCCGACTCCCTGCTGCATCAGCAAACTTTCTGTTACTGCTGTTACACAGGTTAGACCAGGTGATGCTGCAGGCCACTAGCCTGCTGTGACACCCAACGCTGGGCGATTTGTGTTGGCCACATTCAAGTCAGCTGTGGGAGGAGGGCTGTATTTTCAAATTCTCCTGTTTTTTTTTCTGTTGCAGATTTTTGACTACCCCAACTTTAAGGCTTTCTGTTTACTTAAATGGCTTCCAAGTAGAGATATGGGTATTGCTGAAGTTTTCCTAAAACCATCTCCCCCTATAGACAGAGCAAAAAACACTGAGTATTAAAACTAAAGAGGATAAAAGAATATTAGGGCCTAACAGAACACCATAATGTAGTCTTATAGGGTTTTTTGGTAATGTTTTTCATCCCATCACAGCAGTTATTTTATTTTACAATCCTTTTCCCAGTAATGCTTACATAATGCTGAGGCTGCCACTCAGGACGCTGATGCTCGTTGATGTTCTTTTGATATGTTGAGCTGCAGCCTCATCCAGTCATCCTAATATTGTAAAAAGTATATGATGACCCTTAAACTATTGTTGCACAATATTCTACCATCAGCATAAATCACTAAACGTGTAAACATGTCTATAATACACTGTAAGCTTCCTGTAAATGTGAGCTCAAGGAGGAGCTGTCCAGTCTGCTGTGGTGCTGAATCCTGCTCATGAGCACCGGCTTATTTTACTTTGCCTCCATGGTTACGTTGTAGGGTTGACTAATCCTAAATGTGCCAGACGATGGGCATAAACACAATTCTGCCCAGATAGCTTGCTATCCCAAAATCTAAAATGAGGAGTAATGCACATTATACTGAGGTAAGAGAATAAGAGAAGTGAGGGAAGCTGCAGGAAAGGAGATTTATCTTGACATGTGCAGGTCCAATAAAGATAAGGAGCAACATCCGAGCAGGGCACACACATAACAAGATTAATACATACTTGCAAGGGGGATTAGCAAACTTCCAACAGCACACTGTAGCCCACTGAAGTCCAGGGAATCCAGGGAATTCTTAACACAACTGCCACTCTATTTACTTTTATATACATCACTGTTTCTCTTTCTTTTTAGCAAAGATGTCCAGAAACTGGATTCAACCTTAAGTCACCCTCCCTACTCTCCTCCATGCTTCCTTTGTTAGCTTCTCCCTCCCTCAGATCACAGGTGTGTCTAATTTATCTCACACTTTCCTCACCTTCCTTTCCTACCAAGGCTGAAAAGGGATATTCTGTGTTTTTTTCTGGTGTTTACTCACAGTAGTCTAACAATAGCAACATCCAATTTTCTTTAAAGGAGCACTTCACCCACAGAATGATCATTTGTATATCAGTTACTCGCAATGTGTTTCATGAATTTGCGAAGAAAACCTTGTTTTTCTTGCATGTCTCGAGAGTAAATAAACAATCTAATAACAAAGAAAATTCTGCCTGAATTGGAGTAAAAAAGGTACACATTTGGGGCGTTGGTGGCTTAGTGGATAGAGCAGGCGCCCCATGTACAAGGCTCTTCCGCAGCGGCCCAGGTTCGACTCCAGCCTGTGGCCCTTTGCTGCATGTCATTCCCTCTCTCTCTCTCTCTCTCTCTCTCCTCCCTTCACACTTAGCTGTCTTGTCAATTAAAGGCAAAAAATATTTTTAAAAAAAGGTACACATTTAACAACAGCAAAACTATATCCAAACATCTCTTTACAAACTCTCACACAACTTGTGCAGTATGATCCAGCTCTCATGTATCCTATTGTATGCTCACTACTTCCCAAAAAATGAATTCACTAAAACATCATTATCTTAAAACACATGCATATGAGTAGCATACATCAGCAAGTGTTTGAACTAAATATTTTAGTTTTGAGTGAAAATGCATGTGTTTGGGAAGTACTGAGCATATGAATGAAGAAATGAGACGTGGAATATACTGCAACAGTTGTGTGAGAGGGCCCCCTTTGCTTCAATTCTTCAAGAATGTTTACCATTTTTGGATTCTTCGTTGACCATTGAGAATTGCGAGAAAAACGCAAGTTTTCTTCACAAACTCAAAGTAACACATGGTGAGTAACTGATATACGAATGATCATTTTGTGGGTTAAGTGTTCACTTTAAGTCCCCTCATCATATCAGCTAGATCCAACTCATCACTGAGGCTCTATGATAACACTGAGTGAAATATTCAAAACCTGAGTGCACCCTGCCATCACATGGAAATCCTTTAGATCAGAGGTGTCAAACTCATTTAAGTTCATGGGCCACATACAGCCCAATTTTATCTCAGATGGGCTGGACCAATAAAACAATTGCACAATAAATAATAACCTCTAAGTACCATCAGCTCCAATATTTTCCCCTTTTTTGTGTGTAAAGAATTACAAGTACATTCTATAGATGTTCGTCTTTTTACAAAACAGACTTACAGTCTGAGACGTCCTTAGTGCAATTTCAACAGTCTCAGTTTTCCACATTCCACTCCTCACTGTCATTACATGTGCATTTATACATACATTTTCTGATACAGACTCGTTTGAACTGAAGCTGCTGACTGACAATATTTTGCACAATGTTCAGTAAGAACTGTATTCTGGTCAGGGTGGAAACGCTTCTGAAGCAAAATTGAATTACAGTAAGCAACACATGATTTACCTTGCTCCTGAAACCTGGCACCTCTTAGTCTTGTCAAACATCTTTTGTAAAGGAACACAAAAGTATTACAGGAAAAGAGCAGCTTTATAGGTTTGATTAAAGTGTGGAGGGAGACTGCAACTGCAATGCCATCTAATAACCACAAGAGGGTGCTGCAAACTTAGAGCTGAGATGTTCTGCTCGTATTTTATGTTCATGATAAACAAGTTTTAGTTTATGAGAGCCACTAGAGTTCTCACTGTCTGGGCCAAAGGAAGATGTATTCTAAGTCAGTTAATTTTAACAGGCTGTAGTTATATATGTGTATTAATACAGAGTTTTTTAAAAATTCAAATTTATTTATTTTGGTTAAGGTCACACATGTTCTTATTATTTCCAAGCTTTTTAATTCAGGCTTTTTAGCACTCTGTTGGTGTTGCTGATGGAGAAGAAGAATCCGTTTCCCTCTGGATTACAGCTTAGTGAGAGACCTGAAATGTAAATAGAAAATGCAGTGCCAGATTGCAGCGAACTCTGACCTCAGATTAGGAATCACATCCAAAACACATAACACACACACACACACACACACACACACACACACACACTCACACACACACAAATCTAAATCCATGTGAGTCTGCTGTTTGCCAGCTCTACTGCACTTTCAGTCGTTGAACCTTCAGCCGTCCCAAATGCAAGATAATTTGTCTTTTATCAGTTTTTAGTTTTTATATGCATATTTATTTTATTTTTTTTCATCTGTTTAATTTTATTTCAAGTTTCATTTTTGTTGTTTTGGAAAATGTGTGTAAATGCTCTTCTCCCTTTAGTTTCAGCATATAAAATGCATATTATGCACTGTGAGAAGTGAAATATGAAAGTTTAGGGTTTCTACATTCATGTCAACATGCTGCTGCTCTCTCATTGACCTTTCTTGGAACAATACCAACTTCTCCCCAGTTATTGACTCTCGCCAGGTCCCCGCAGCGTAGATCAAATGGAAGATCAGACGAGCTCCAGGGGTCCCAAAGTCTCCTGGCCTCACACAGTGTCACTGCATGTTTATCTGTCCGACTGCTTATTTCTAATCTGACGCTGCTGCTCGTCTCCAAAATTAACGTCAAAGCTGCAGGGAGTCACCCAAAGCTCGGATCTTCACTTAAATCCTCAGAGTACAGATTTACAGATTGAAGTGTTTCGGTCTTGTGAGTTGAGCGGTAATCTGCACGTGTAGAAACCAGAGAAACGCCTGATTAGAGTTAGTTAAAAGTTTTGCTTCCTCTGGTTTCATATTTTTCTGTCCTTTTTTGTTTTTCTTCATTTCTCAACATCTTACACTCTTCTCCTCAGATGCTGTGCTGTCCCAGTTTCCCAGCAGAGATCAATAATTTCATCTTATCTCATCTTTCACACTTACCTCAGTGATGGAGGAGCTGCTTTTTGAGGCTACACTCCAATCTCAGTGCCCCCAAGTCAACCATCCTATGTGGGGAGTAGTTTTTCTTTCAAGATGTGTCATAATCTACATACAAATAATTATATGTAGGGTTAAAATGACAAATGTATCAATAAATGAACAGGAATAAATAAATGTAGTTGTAGAAATAAATTTAAGATATTTATTTATTTATATCCTGTTTATTTATCAACTTTCATGTATTTATTTATTCATTTAACTATTTATTTCCATAGTTTTTTCCATAGTTCAGTATTTATTTGTTCCTTTATTTATTTATACATTTGTTTATTTCTGTATTTATTTCTGCATTTATTTGCAATTTTATTTCTGTATTTCTTTATATGCCTCTGAATTTATTCACACATTTATTTCTGATTTTTTTTTCTGTATTTCTTTATATGCTTCTATATTTATTTCTGTATTTCTTCATATATTCCTGTATTTATTTACACATTTATTTTTGTATTTCTTTATATGCTTCTGTATTTATTTACACATTTATTTCTGCATCTATTTCTGTATTTCTTATACGTTACTGTATTAATTTACACATTTATTTTTGTATTTATTTCTTGATGTACTTATCTGTATTTCTTTTTATATTCCTGCATTTCTTCTATTTCTTTCTTTCTATTTTTCTGTCTTTTTCCTTTATTCCTGTATTCCTTTAGACATTTATTTATTTCTCTATTTATTTATACAATTCTACACTCATTTATTTATTTCTGTAGTTCTTTACATATTCCTGTATTTATTTATACATTGATTGAGTTATTCCTGCAGTTATTTATCCATCCATTATCCATTCTCACCATAATATGGTGTAATATCGTGTCATGAGCAGAATACTTTAGTAAGTGGTGAAGGACACTTCAAGGACACTCCAGCGGTGGTTTCTTGTGCAGGATTATTCCCCAGCTGTCCAGAGGATTTGAACCAGCCGCCCTCCAATCCTGATCCCTGCCCTTTAGATCCCCTTCCTCTTGTTTGACCCCTGCTTCACTCGTCTTAGGTCAGATGTGGTTTTTAGAAGCCCCAGGACTCCACTGGTGCTTACAGAAAAACACTTTGTTTAATGTAAAATACTGTCAGTAAAGTATGAGGAACATGAATCCTACCAGTGAAGATTCTTCAATTCACAGTATCCCACTGTGCTGTGGTAAGATCCTGAGAGCTGTTTACTGCTGGTAAGATGATGTTGTGGCTGCAGTAGCAGACTTGTATGGAGTGCAGATGTACTGAAAGTAATGAGTTGGCTTAGACTGGGAGCAGACAGGTCCAGAGAAGAAATAGGCAAAAGTAAAAGATTCCCACTAAAAATAAAACATCAAAAATGATAAGTATGGAATATTAAATCATTCATGACTGTGAGCTTTAAAAACTTTTCATCTTAGTTTTGTAACTGTGTGCCTGAAAACTCTATTTTGAAAACTAAAAATAACTTGAACTAACTATGGACACTAATGTCATGCTAAAATTACTGAATGGCTAATTTAAGATTAATCCCATCAGGAGACATCTGTCCAGGATCTTTCAGTTCCTGATCTTACTGTCACAAAATAATTTAGCCAGCTGTAGTTGTTGAATCCTGTCCTTTCTTTTTATGGACCCTCTGTTTTCTTTACAAAGCACTTTGCACATCAACTTCACTATGTAATGCATCGTCATATCTATAAGAGCATGCACACAAAGACCTGCAACACGTAAACCTACAATAACTGATTTTAGGACACTTGGGAACACTGATATGAATACCCTTATAGTTAATATGGCGAACTTGTTAGCTAATTTGTTTTCATAGAGCATCAGCATTCATTTGGAATTGTGTTTCTGAAGTGCAATATTCAGTCTCCTTTTAACTCTTCTTTGGTCTCTGCCAAGCGGCAACCTCCGAGGCTGAAAAACAAAACCAATGTGCAAGCACAACACATTCTCACTCCAACAACACTTGGTCAGTCATCCTATACATCAAATTATGACTCTCTAGGTTCCCCTCCAGCATCAGTTTTGGGGACAAGATGTCAATTTCAAATTCTCACTCCGACCTTGTCACATATTGAGGTTTTGGTCATGGACTTTCCACGTCCACATACGACGTACAAAGTACCCTGGGTGCATTGCTCGTTGATGTTCTGCGACACCACATCAAGATACACTTCCATTTACAGAGGAAATTTATCATTTACATTGGCTACGGTCTCTTTCAAAATAAACGCACTATGTTGG